TCCACCCATTAGCCTCCATTGCATACTCCAGCAGATGCTTTCACTGATGTATTTTAGCTGCTGTGCTTGGCCAATATACTCTGGATCAATTTCAAGCAGGCTGCACACTGAGGCGTTGTGCCGGGACTGGAGCAATGACAGAGCTGCTGCTGATGCACTTTTCAATGAATCATAGAATCATTAGATTGGAAAAGACCTTTAAGATCATCAAGTCCAGCCATTAACCTAACTCTACCAAGTCCACTGCTAAACCATGCCCCTAAGCACCATACCCATACAGCTTTTAAACACATCCAAGGATAGTAACTCAACCACTTCCCTGGGAAGCCTGTTCCATGGCTTGACAACCCTTTTGGTAAAGAAATCTTTCCTAATATCCAACCTAAACGTCCCCTGACTCAACCTGAGGCCATTTCCTCTTGTATTACGACTTGTTTGGGAGAAGAGACCAGCACCCACCTATCTACTACCTCCTTTCAAGTAATTGTAGAGAGTGATAATGTCACCTCTGAGCCTCCTTCTCTTCAGACTAAATAGCCCCAGTACCCTTAGCTGCTCCTCATAAAACTTGTGCTCTAGCACCTGCTTTGTTGCCCTTCTTTGGACCCACTCCAGCACCTCAATGTCTTTCTTGTACTGAAGCACCCAAAACTGAACACAGCACTTGAGGCGTGACCTCACCAGTGCCAAGTACAGGGGGACAATCTCTTCCCTAGTCCTGCTGGACACACTATTTCTGATACAAGCCAGGATGTCATTTGTCTTCTTGGCCAGGTGGGTATACTGATGGCTCATATTTAGCCGGCTGTTGATCAGTACCCTGCAGGTACTGAGCATCCAAATGGGCATGTTCTGCCACCAGGAATCCAGCAGAGACCCTGCTGCAGCCACCATGGCCATGCCTGGGGAATCCTCCCAATTTCTTGGGCTCAAAGCATGGCACTGAGCTGCATTGTTTTGTAGCTCAGGTGTCTGAGGTCAAATAAGCCAAGGGAGGGAAATGTCACTTGTTACCATAGGGCCTTTGACCTTCATATATGCAAACAAAAGCTATTTACATCCCTCTCTCTTCCCTGGGAGAGACATAGGGATATGTGGAAGGACAGATCCCTAACACGGACAGGGAGACTGCAGGGCACAGTAGGGCTGGCAGGTCCCTGGGGCCAGGACTGTGGGGGCTCCAGTCATGAACAGGGAAGCCAGGGAACACCAGGTCCAGCCCCAGGAACTGGACAGCTCCCTTGGGATGGACCCAGGCCAGGATACGGGCCTGGGGGTACGTCTGGCTTGGTGGGATCATGACTGGACAAGGTAGGGTTGTGGTGAGTTGGAGACTGGCACTGCTGTGGTGTCGCTGGGGCAGGGGATGGTGGCCCTGAGGAGCTGACATCAAGCCCTGGCACAGTGGGGTAGCCCCAAAGGTGTGTGGGGGCAGCCAGGGCTGCCAGTGTCTTCATCACCATGACACGACCTTCCTCTTCTCTTGAGGCCAGCACAAGCAACGGGTTGAACAAGGCAGCTGCTGTGTATCTGAATTCCTCTACAAGATGTGGGTGAACCTCATCCAGTCCTGTTGACCTGTTATTACTAATCTTGGCAGGCTACTCCTACTGATGTTGCAGTTTGATGATGAATTCCTCATGTTGATGCATTACAAAAAAAAGACCCCTGTTGTGGGAGTCTCTGCTCTGAGTGTTAGTGCAAGATTCATTTCTACTTCTGGCAAGACCTCTGCGTACCCACATCCCCATGTTTCTCCAGCAGGCTACCAGTCTGAGAGATACTTGAAAAAGTTTCATGTGTAACTCAGTGCCTTCAGCAAGCCACAGGCTGGCTTTGGCCTTGGTAGAATTCACATCCTTTGCTGCTTTTCTCATTTGGGCTTTTCTGTGCTCCCTGATGGTGTTTCTTTACTTCTAATAGTCTCCTTTGCTGTTTATTTCTACAGGTTTATTTTACGGTCCAGGCAATGATGTGAACAAAGGATTTCTAAGGCTCAGGCAATTGTTCTGATCATTCAACTGTAGGTTATTGTCTTTTGGGACAATCTGACAGTAATTTGGAGCAGAAGCAGTATCGATGTGTCTGGGGAGGGTGTGGGTGTATGCAGTGGGAGTGATAACCCTGTTTCCTGCAAAATCTACTGTTCTGAAAAATCTTTCATGTTTCATACAGGAACTTTTGGGTTATTAGCACAGGTATCCACCTAATTTAAATTTTGCTTTCCATGACTTCGTTACTCCCAGCTAGGTAGTTTCACTTAACTACAGAGCTCAGCGAGTGTCTGGAAGTTAGAAGAGCCATATAATACCTGGAATGTTTAAATATCCTCTTTCACTCATCTTAGCGAAGTTCCTGGCTGAATCAAACTCCTTTCCTTACCTCAGCAATATCCAGATAGGTCTTTGAAAAGTATGTTAGTGGTAAGAAAGGAAATTTAAAACTGCCACCTTGGATACAGACAAATGATCAATGAAAAGCAAGACAGAGGAGTGAGAAAGCTCTCCTCTCCTGGGAACATGAACTGAATTTGTGATGTAAACACACTTTCATAAAAAGGAAACTGTCTGACAGGGGCAGCCACAATTAATTCAAATTTCATGCCAGTTCACTATTTCCTCATTATGTTTCACTGTATATTAAGACTGTATTTGTAAGATGCACTCTGAACTCCATACTAAAGTATAGCCCTGCTGCTGAAAGAGCTATAATTCATTTACTAACAGCCCTTCTTGCTGTGCTGCAACAATGTAATCGTTTTCTCTTTGTCCCAGCCATATGATTATTCCTGTTGTGTACGAAATTTAAGTCCAAGGAATGTCAGACCAAATATAAAAGACTAGTGCTTACCCATAGTTTTTATTGAATTAAGTAGCCATTACAGAGCTCATGCTATTTGAAATGACATAATGCAGAACACAAATGCAGTCCTTTATTACAGATATATATTCGTCTAAACAAAATGGCACCAACACATTCCAAACCCATTACAATTTTTAAATTATTCTGCTAAGACAACAATTATATGGTGAGCAGTCTCTGTGACAGACAACTGGGGAATCCATGGCTTCCACAAACCACACTTTCAAGACAGCAGCAGTGTTATTTGGGGTTATTTGTGAAATTCCCAAATGCAGAGAAACAACGCTGCTAAAATATGCTCCTCGAGTGAAAGCACTGAGCTGGAGCTTGGACAACTCTGGTTTTGCAGGTGATGTGTGGGTAAGTCATGCATAAGGCCAGGACCTGACTCAGACAGAGTTGCCTAAGGCAGAGCCTGGGCAGCATTTAGAAGTTTATGCCCAAAATAAGATCTAAAAAGCTCTGTCCATTCCCATCTGGTCTTCTCACAACATCCACATGCTGTCTCTGCACATGCCTTCTACATCACCCACAGGATCCATAAGGCTTCCTCTGCTCAGCATCTCTGAGGCTTCTTCCTAACCAGCATGGTCCCAGAGCTGCTATCACCCAACATCAGGTTTAGGTCCTCACTGAACTGTTGGCCAGCACTACAAGTGCCTTAACCTGCGTAGGACTGAGGGCCTTTGTTTTGCAGTGCTGTAGCTTGTCTGTCAGGCACAGCTCTGCATCCCTTCAGTACTGTTGGTGTGGTGGGCTCTCATGGGAAGTGGCTGCCCCTAGCATGAGTCCCTTCTTTTCCCTCTCTTCCTACTCCTTGGTCAAAGAATCATAGAATGCTTTGAGTCAGAAGGGACCTCAAAAGACTATCCAGTCCAACCCCCCTGCAGTAAGAAGGGACACCCCTGACTAGATCAGGTTGCCAAGAGCCCCATCAAGCCTGACCTTGAAAGTCTCCATGGATGGGGCCTCCACCACCTCTGTGGTCAGCCTGTTCCAGTGTTTCGCCACCCTCATAGCAAAGGGTCGAAGCTCTCTGTTCACATTAGGGGACTAATGATACATGCGTCCTTTGGCCTGGGGATCAGAATACTCCTGTGGAAGGTGGGAGAGGAAGAAATTAATCCCTCTAGGCAGAGTGGGAATTGCCCCCGAGTCTCTCACACCTGAAGAAGTCCCAGCTCCAGGCTGTTCAGATGAAGGCAGGCAGGCAGGCAAGCTGTCACAGCTCGGCATGCCTGCCTCTATCAGCCTGGAGGTGAGGCTCACGCTGCATTCTGGAAGAACCACTGCCAACACCAGTCCTTCGGAAACTGGTTCTGCCTCTGATTTCCCTAGAGACAAAGATGCCTACTGGAACCTCTAAATCTGCTGATGAAGCCAAGAAGAGGATGAGAGTTTTTTATGTTTCTCTGTGTAGTGTGTGCCACTCTTGCTTCATCTAAACAGCTCCTTTTTCTGAGTACCACGTACTTCTTTAAACCTTTTCTGCACCTTCCTCATGCACTATATGGGCAGCCAGTTCCTCATCAGGTCTGAAGCCAAGTAAGGCCCTTACTTAGGTCCAGCCTGAAACTGGTCTGTTACTGTTTCACAACAGGGAGAAAACAGAAAATAAAAATAATCCCCAATTTAGGATGGACATTGTTGTTGCTGCTTTTTGTTAATCAAAACCTGGGCTAAGAGAGTGATAAAGTAAGGGGCTCGTATAAAGCTGAATTCAGAACAGTGCAAATGGAGACAGGGACCATGTTACAATTTAGTCATCCAATACTGAAAATAATATTAAAAGAGAGATGGCATAGAAATAGTTATTGATCATGTAGAGAGTGAAAAGCTACATCAAAGATTTTAGAGGGTCAGTTTCTAATTTTACAAATAACACCACTATCCAAAGGTTTCCAGAATTGTTTTGTTTGTTTGTTTGTTTGTTTTAATTTTTTATCTGATTTATTACTTTTTTTTACATAACAGCCAATGTGTCCCAAGCTGGGTAATTCTGAATGTTACCATGCAAAGAGGAAGGACAGGGATAATTTCCCCACTTAAGCCACTTTATTGGCATGATTACAAGACAAAGAATAAACTGTTCACTGCTTCCTACACCTCTTCCCCTCATGCCAGCTTCTGTCTATAACTTTTTACTTTCAGCTCATTGCAAGAAGGTAATTTTATTGTCACATTTGTCTGGCAGCTGGAATTCTCCAAATGAGGTAAGCAGGGCTGCGATGTGTGCTCTCATCTCTCAGCAAAAACCTTGTAACATACGGTGCTGTTATGTCTCCAAGCTTTACATGAAGAGGAAAACAGGCATCTGGGCTGGGTTCATTTGTAACGCTGCAGTTGATAGATTAATATGCAAAGACAGATGAAGGCAGACACTTTAATTACTTCACCCTAGCTTTTTATTATAACATCAAGTAAAATGGTGAGTTACAGAAGATAATGGGCGTGAAACATCTGGGATAGAGTCACACACAAGCTCATGGTTTGTTATCTGCCAATGGGGTTTTAAATATGGATCATTTCTGTACATGCATCTTTGTATTACTTCTGATTTTCTTGACAACAGGATTACTTTGTTTTAAGCTGTGAGGTAGCTACTAAGACTGGGACCCCGCTTTTTTCTTCTGGAATTTCCTGAACTGGGACTGTATCGCCACAGCCGCCCGCTCTGTCTCTGGCGCGTCCATGTCTATGTCAAATTCCTCTTGAACCTTCTTCTGCCCATCTGCTCAAAGAAAAATAAAACAAAACATCAGCAGTTTTTTTCAAACACTGGTAATCACTGGACAGCACAGGTGAAAACCCTGCTCCTCTCTCCTTCACAGACAAAGCCATGATGATGGGAAGCATATTCACAAAAAAAAACCACCTGGGACAAGTTTTGGCAAACACAGCTGATCAAATCCCCCAGCCCCACTCAACAGCAGAGTCTGGGACAGCCAATTGGTAGCTGGGCACCAATGAGTGACATCCCAACGGAGCTCGGCAGTCATGGAGCATCACCCTGATATCAGAGCAAGTCCTCTCCTGCCCACGGAGCTAACAGTGAGGGCAGAGGGACCCTTCTGTGCCACCCTGCACATGCTACTCATGTCCCCATACTTACTCTAAAATAAGACACCTTAAAATATTTTAATGTGGGGATTAAAACCCTGATCTTATCACACTTTCTGCATTATAGGAAGAGATAATACTTCCTAAGGCAAATGTCCATCTTTTTCACATATTTCCTGCCTCATCCCTTTCAACACATACCACTCTTCCCCTTTGAATCATTTACATTCAACTTCTCTGTCCCTGTGCTGCTTGCCCCACTTCTCTCTGGGCTCTGTTGTTGCCTTTCAGCCTCAGTCCTTGGCTCTTCACCTTCCTTTATTCCCAGCCCTCAGCTTTTCATCCAACTTCATTCAGCCTCCATGTGGACAACCCAGCTGTCTTTGCTGAATTTTGCTTCATCCACCTACGTGTTAAAAGTGCAGCCTTGGGAAAATTCCTGCCCTCATTGCAAGGATAACCTTAATCTGCCTGGGCTAACAAAGTGAGAACAGACGTTCACCCCGCTAACCTCTTCATAACACTGAGCTTCTCTCCTCTATAAACTTGTTTGTTGAAACTCACTTATATAACTATTGTACCCCAGCCCTGCAGTGAACATCACACCAGGAGTCTGCAGACAGCTCTACTCAAAACAGCTGTAGGAATCTACTCATTTGGAACCATTTTGCTTTGTACTCTTGTGATTAATACCTCCTGGATGCTCATCCCCAAGTACTGCTGATGCAAATCATGGGAAGCACTTTCAAGGTATTATTAAAAGAGAAACTTGGTCACCTCTCTCTGTCTCTCTCTCTCCTTCCTGCTAGAAAACAGGGATATCATTTCATGATTTCAGCATCTCTTGCATATCTCTTGCCTTTACTTCTTGTTCTTTTCAGAACTCAATTTTTTGTGTCCACTTTCCATGACCAGAAATCACTCTAGACTGATTTAAAGGGAAGGTTTTGGCATATTCCATACTGATTTTATTTTAACTGCAATAAGCAAATAAATGCAGCTATGCTAACACAAAATAAATAGTGACTTGATTTTTTTTTTTACTTAGAAGTACATTTAAGATGAAAGATGAAAATGTAAGAAGAAAGAGAAAGTCTAGAGGAGAACAGCTTGAGAGCTTACTAGAACTTTGATTATACAGTATCATGGAAAGTTAGGTTATCAAAACTAAGATTTTTATGGAGAAAATTAATCATGCTAACATTATGTCAAACTTCCACAGCCATTAAACCCAAGAATCTGAATATTTTCTGTAACTATTCAAGAAAAAAAAAGTGCCTAAGTACAGAAATACAACTATAGCCTTTTTTTCATGGTGAAAGGGAGGCGAAGGCTGGAATGGACTTCCTTATGTTCACAAGTTGTTGACACAGCCAAGGAGAAAATTGAACTTTCCCATTAAAGCCATGTTATATACTGAAACTATAGAGTTACTTGTAAAGGGAACAGAAATTTCTGTACCAGTTCCTACAGTAAAAACTGCCACATAACAATGCTTTTTGAAAGTTTTCCTGTTGTCAGGTACCATCTTCTCTGCAGTGCGTGTACACAGCAGAAAAAGTGAGATTTTAATTTTTTTAATCAAATTTCAAAAGGGATTATCATTTTCACAATGACTTAGTACCATTTTGTTGCTATTTTGGGGGGTTAACTTTGATTTGGTATTCATGGGTTAAAGGGGAAGAGAAAAGAAAACACAAGATTTAATATGGAAACAAACCAAAAGAGGACTTTAAATCATCCTGTAAAGAAGTAAAAATTTTCAGTTGGAATGTGTAAATACAGACTTTTCATTTGAAATTTCTGAGTTAAAAAAAGAAAAAAAAAAATCAAGACCCTGATCAGCTAGCTCTAACAGCAACCACCATGTAATAGCAGTAATAAAATATAAATAAATAAATGGGTTACTTCTCCTTGTGTCAGAATCTCTCCTCTTTATTGTATTGTATTAACTTATTCTAAAGAGGAGAGTACCACTTACGGAGAAATACTCTTATTCCTTATGGAGAAATATTTTATCAAAATGTTTATACTAGTAATGTAATAAGCATTTCATCAGCTCTGAAACTGATGATCTCATTGCTTGATGATCTTTATTTTTGTTGTAACATTCTGAGTTCCAGGTTCCTCCCTAGCCAGTCACTAGACACAGCTGTCAGTCTTAACAGTTAGAAAACAAAAGTGGAGTTTATGCATCAGTTTTAGCTTTTCAGTATATAAATTACTGCCCCTTGGAAATGTCAGTAGGGAAAGCCAGATGGATGGATGAGTAGACACAACTGTTTTCATACCTCTTGATGAAATCTGGCTTGTACAACTCATTTTGGATCACAGCCAAGTCGTAGCAGTTCACTAACTTACAGCAGTGACTCAGCAACCTTACGTTAAGCTCTTATAGAATTCAGAAAACCCAGCATTTAGTATATTTATTTTTCCTATAGAATTTCCAAGCCAGTTAATCTTTGCTTAATGTGAATTATCATTGCTGCCTTAAAATGAATGGTACTACAATAATAAACCAGACCTTAAGATCTGACTTCCTTTAAGTTTTTTGACCCATTGTTGTTGAAATCAAACTCAAAATTCCTAATGAAGTGCTGGGGTTAACCCTAAGCCCTGAATGAGGGTTGGCATATGGATGATGTCCACAACCAGGCAAGAAAGCCCTTCCTGATTGGTTTTCACCTAGGGTCTGGCCAGCCTTGGGTGGGAACTGGTTAGAAGATCACCACCAGATGCCCCTGCCTTCCACATTAACTTGGAGGCAGAGCAAGAACCCACCTCCATAAGAACCAGCTCTGCTTGCAGTGGGTTTGAGAGATTTGCTTACACAATGGATGTGTTGTGTGGGGTTCTGGCTAGCAAAAGGGGCTCCCTGACTCTTCATAGTAAGTGGAGTTCCCAGGATGGTGGGGCAAGTTTGAGACACAAAGAGAGTTTTGGAGCTTTCTCCTGGCATTTACTGTGTGATTGGGATTGACTGGTTGCCTGGGTCCTTCCTTCCCCCATGGCTTGGTTTTAGAGTCAGCTTCCCTTCTGTGCTGTGTTCCGTATGTGAGTGAATACATTGGTCTATTCATCCCTTCAGTGGTGGGCCACCTTGGATCTCTTGTGTATGATCTAAGAACAGAGGGAGAGATCTGGCTCATGTGTTGCCCATTAATGATAATATCCTTCCTAGCTGGGCAAGTGGTCAGCAAAAGACCTAATAAATTCTTACTGTATTTCTCTTTTTCCATCACTAAGGAGAAATGGTAGGATGAGATGTTTTTTGGCCATGACTTAGACTTGTAGATTAAGAAATCAGAAGTTCAAAAGGGCCATGGCATTTTTATGGGTAATGAAGAAATTAACTCTTGGCTTACAGATGGAATAGAAATATATAACGATTACACATATATGTACAATGTACATTATGAAACAACAGGTCTATCATCTATATATAATGTATATGACATATTTGTGCTTCCTTTCTCCCTGTGCCCCTCTTTCTGTATACCTGTATGATATATCTGCTTCTGAATATGTAGAGAATCTGTATGAATATACATAGAAATACACAGACATATTTGTTTAAAGAGTTTTATGTCCTGTGATAAACTGAAAAGAGCTGGATGGGGTATTTCCATGGAGTTCTCCTCAAAGCATTTTCTATTGATGACTGTCACAACACAGACACTTTAGCAGATGGATTGTCAGTCTGGAGACAGAATTAAGTGGTGTGCCTTCTCTGACTTTGCCTATGTTAAGGGAAAGAAATTTTAGCTTTTATCTTGTATTGCTTTACTAAAAGTAGCCTAATGATTTAAAATCCAACACACCATGCTAACTAGACTGTTCTTGTTTTACTGGTTATTTATTGTTAAGAGCATGAGTTCCAGCCCCTCAAGGCAGGGGAGGTTGGTCTTTAAGGTCCCTTCCAATTCACACCATTCTATGATTTTATGAGACTATGAATTGAGAATTGTCCCACTTAATAACAATGAAAACCTAGCCTGTGCTCAGGACCTGCAGAGGTTAGAGATGACCTCATTGCACCAATATGAGTGACTGAAAGCCCTTCTGCACCCTTCCTACTATAGATGTACCTACACCACACTAGCTTTTACCTGTCAGTTGTTCAAACATCTCAAAACATGTGGGCTATTAAGTTTCAGTGCTCAAATCATGAAACACATACAGAGAACTGAAGCCCATAGAAATGCTCCTCTTTCATTCATAGTTTATCACTCTTACCTTTCCTTTCACAAGGGATCTCTGGCTTGGAAGCAATCTGAAAACCCAAGAAAATTTTGCTCTCAGCAGGCCAGGACATAGCTAAGCACTTGCACAAGCTTTATACTTGGGTTTGCTTTTTTCTCTCCTACTAGGGCTAGCCATCCTCTCTGGTAACAAGGCACCCTTTTCTAAGGTACCTTTAAGTAGCAATAAAGGTAGGTCTGGATTCCCTCTCCATCCTCAGTCTTACACACACACACACCCCTTTGTTGGTATTTGTGGTCTCTACACTATGTGCAGTTTTTTTCCACCTGGGATATCTGAGGATCTCTGGACTACCACAGGCCCATATGAGGCACAATAGGAGGAACAAGACTGTTGACAGTAGACTTCAATTCACAAGCTACTTTTAACTTTGATTGAGAAATCAAAAAGGGTTAATAAGCACTGACC